CAATTAATACAAAGTTATCTCTGGCCTAGAAAACAATATACCGCTGTAAATTTTACACACTCTCAAGTTGAACACATTACGTATGGTGTCTCCCAGGGATCGATTCTTTGACCTATCCTACTCCTGCTGTTCATTAATGATAACGTAAATATCGAGGTACACAAGAAAATGATATTGTACACTGATGACACAAATGTATTTTTCGCAGGTTCAAACGTATGTGAACCATATAAGGAAGCCAACGTTTGGATGGAGAAACTCAAATGGTTAAACGCAAATAAACTTCAATTGAATATCGCTAAAACAATGTAATGTTTTCCAAGCCTAAAGGAGTAGCTCATATACCATGCACTCCAATTTACTTCCAGAGCACCGAGATTCAGCGCACAACAACAACAAAATTTCTAGGAGTTTATTCCAAGAACAACTTTCTTGGTTTCCTCACATTGACGCGATAAAAAAAGATCTTTCCGAGAGAATCGGCATTTTAAACAGACTGAGATACTACGTTCCATCAAATGTCAAGCTGCAAAGTTACTACGCACTAGTACATTCACGACTAACATACTGCTCCTTGGTGTGGCTAACAACAACCACCACAAACCTTAATTCTCTGTTGATATTACAAAAGCGTGCTATACGTGCTATATCTTACACTCCCCTTTACGAAAGTACTCGACCGTATTTTAAAATGTACAAAGTATTGCCTATAAAACTGTTATGCTATGTCTGTTAAAACTGTTAAGCTATGTCTAGAGATATTACACCAGTATAAACTAAATACATCACTATTCTTGGACACATAATAGGTGAAACAAACACCATACGAGCTGAGAAAGAGCTTAATATAGAAATATAGATCACGCACGAACTACGGTGACCAACGATTAGCGTCACAAAATCCTAATATTCTAAACAATTACACAACTATATTACATTTACTGGAAGACGGAATTTCAGATACATCATTAAAAAAATAATGAAAGAGTTTCTAGTGGATGAAAGCAATGCCTTTCTTGATTTTTGAAATTTGTAGTCCAGGATGTTTTTGTATTCGTTGCACGTTGTTCATTATTGTCCCTTTGCCTGTTATTTATTATACTCTAATTTTTCTTGTAGAGCATCTCGATTTCCTAGTCAAGATGTCTCTTGCTAATTTATTTAATGGAAAACATGCATTTGTTTGTATTTGCCACCACTCGAATAAGGACTGTTTATATTTCGATTCTTTTATTCACAATTCTGGCAGTTCCTGTTCAACTATAGTACCCGTGTGAGATAACACGTAATGTTGTATTTTCTGAGTACTGTACTTGCGGTATGTTTCTGCTTTGCTGCCAGGGTGACACGACCAAGTCAGGCTTTTACTTAGCCTTTAGTCGTGTTCCCCAAGAAAATCTTGTTCAATTTTGCCTTGAATAAAGCAAACCAAACCAAATCTGTTTTCTGATATGTGATGTCCTCCTCCTCGCAGCTGTGCCCACAGTACGTCGCTTCCTTCGTGGACGTGGTGCTGGTCGGAGACCTCCTGGTCGGGCCCGGTGCTCGTGATCAGCATCATTAGCGCCTCGAAGCTGTACGAGGCCACAAGCAGGGCCGAGCACGTACAGGACCAGTTGGCGCAGGCCGGTGGACCCGGGAACGCTCAACGCTCTCACCGCACTAGAGGCTGAGTTCCCCGCGGCGCCAGGACGGCGCATATAAGTCGAGTGCCAAACACGACGCCGCCATGTGAATGGATTCTATAGTGACGGAGCAGGCGTCGTATTACTTTTATTTTTGTTCAGTCACGCAATACAATGTTTCGTTTTTACTCTTCATTTCTTTGTCAATTGAGCACACGTTGCTGATGAGTTTCGCGGAATACCGCCAGCCTGGCCGCTACGAAAGGGATAGAGTAACTGCGTATAGAGTTACACCTCTAGGCACTAGAGTTGTGCATATGCCTTCCGAACGCCATTTACAGCCATGCAATGTAGAGACGTTGAAGCTGGGGCCGATGATTCTTTTTCTCAACGTCGCCACCGCTGCAGCGGAATGAATTGACACTAGTCATCGGCATTCGAGTTAAACGCCAGTCTTTGACATGTCAATCGCTAACACGGTAGGCATGATGTGGCCTGGAGAAACGGGCTTCGGCAACGCCACAGACCGTCTGATAGTTAGACTTACGTGCCACACCACTGCTAAAGTATAGTCGGCGGCAACAACTTCCCTTGGCAGCATTGCAGTGCCTAGACATCCTAGGAAATCATAACAGAACAGCTCTTTGGAAGCTGCAGAACCGAACCACGTGCCTTCTGCTGCGTCATAAAATAGCACTGAGCTTTACTGACGGCTTTCTAATTCGCTTTGGTAGTATAAATACCACTCTCTTTGTAATAAGACTCAAAACGTTGCGGAAAGACAAAATTAGAATTCGCTCATTGTTCACACTGAATGACCGCAATGACTGCACGCGCATGCCAAAGTGTGTTTGCGCGTGCGCGTGCCGAAATGCGTATGCGCGTGCACATGCCAGAGGGCGTATGCGCGTGCCAGAAGACGTATGCGCGTGCGCATGCCAGAAGGCGTATGCACGTGCGCATGCCGAAATGTGTATGCGTGCGCGCATGCCAATATCGAAAAGATACGCCTCGAACTGAAAGTGCTGTAACAGACGACGCCATATTGCTATACACCTATTTTACGAACACAAATGTAGCGGCAAAGGAGAGACGTGAGACGACGTCGAATGCGGCCAACGGGGTGGTGCCACTGGATACGTGGGGTTTAACGTCCGAAAACTACCATATAATTATGAGAGACGCCGTAGTGGAGGGCTTCGGAAATTTCGACCACCTGGGGTTCTTTAACGTGCACCCTAATATGAGCACACGAGCCTACAGCATTTCCGCCTCCATCGAAAATACTGCCGCCGCAGCCGTGATTCGATCCCGCGACCTGCGGGTCAGCAGCCGTGTACCTTAGCCACTAAACCACCGCGGCTGGGCAGAGGCCGTGCCAAACTTGCCCCTTTACTCCTCGTGGCTGAAGTGTAGCGGCGTCCAGCGTCTGTAAAGCCAGGCGCGTGAACTCGTTGTCTTCAGGCGCACCTCGAGCTTTGCATGAGCTGCGCGAGAGGCACAGCGCTGTGGCTATGAAATGATGGTCGTGATGATGCCACTACAGATTACTCCCCCTCCCCTCTACACAAAGAAATGAACCAAGGATAAAAACAATGAGAGCACGAATGCAAAAGTGTGCAGGTCGAAAAGCTAAAGAGTCCGCGAGCTATTCAGCTCATCAACGGGAAGGGGCTATCGGCAACCAGTGTGTCTCTGGTGGGTGACACTGGAAAAAGGGCAGAGGTCGAAGGAGACTCCAAGACCGTGTGGTCACAGACAGGTGGGCACCATAGTAACCTAGTGGGATCACTCGAGAGCACACCCTGTGTCGAGAACGCTCGCTGCAGGCAAAGGTGGTTGGTGGTGGAGCCGTCTTAAGGCGCTGAAGAGGCATAGCCGCTGATGAAGCCGAGACAGTGCACTGCATCGAAGCTGAGCCAGGACGACCGAGTATTGAAGTGCAAGTGCCGCGGTGGGACCACTGACAGCGGACAGGGCACCGACAAGGCTTTCGAGAAGTAGTGGGCTGGTCGTGCTCGTTTGGACGTCGCCGTCAATAGAACACCGGCGTCAGCGTTTCGTTCCGGCTGGCGTGCCAGCAGGGGTGGTCGAGTCGATGGACGCAAAAACGCCATGCCTGAATAACGGCGCCGCGTGCACTACGCGTAGTCATGCGCACGATAAGTGGTTGGCCGTTGCGTCTGGCAGATTCAGTAGGCGCTTGCGCCGTCTTAAAGGCCATGGCTGCAACGCACGGCTGCAACGCACGGTTGCAATGCACGGCTGCATAGCAGGACGCTTGAAAAGGGGACGTTCTGTTTTACGGCGAACGCGATGATTTCTTCTGTGCGCTGTCAAGGGTGGTAGACAGGCAGTAGGATAGGGCGTCGTCGCTCGTGTCACCAATGAGCCTGCGTTGCGGACACACGTCTGGAAGTTGCCGTCCAGTGTCAAAGGCTCCGGGGGATGGTTGTGGAGCCCAGAAGTCATGGTCTCGGGGTTGAATGGCGTGCCCATTCTCGTCACGGCAGCCTAGCGGTTGTCCGCCTGCGTGGGTGGTACAAAACATGCGGTCTGTCCGGCTGTTGACCAAGCTGCACGTAGTCATCGGTCATTGTAGCAGCATCCCGGAAGTTCGGTCGTAGCATGTCACTGGCAGGAACTTCAGCTGCGGGAGACGTTGAGGTAGGTGATAGTGGCTGCTTGCAAGACGTACGGCGCGTTAAGGCCGGTTGAGAGTCACCTTCGGACACCGTCGACGGCGATGCCTCCGCGATTGGGAGCGAATAGGGGGCACAACGATGTCCGTAGTTGCGGCAAGCTCCAAGGCGTGCGGCGAGGTTGCCGTCGTGAAGACTGACCTGCCTAAGTTGTCTGGGGTGGAGGAAGATGTGCAGGGGGCAGGCACGAGTGACGGACCTGCGTTCGCGGGCTCCAAGGGGACGCACCTCTCGGTGCTGAGACCAGTCGAAGTGGGAGCGTCGTCTACCTGGCCGTCGTGCTCATGTGCAGGTTTGGATGTTCCTGCGATTGGATCTGAGGTAGGGGGAGTCGTAGCAGGAGAAGCGAGGTCGCGGTCAATGGATGGTTGCGGGCTGGTTGGTAATGTCTTGTGCTGGTGCCGCGCGAGCGTGCCGGAGCACGAGCGGAGAGAGACGATACGCACGACAGCTGCTCAGCTAACGAAATGGGGCCTCCCACTTTATTCGGGGCAGAATATATACAATCTCAGGGGCGCCTCCTGCTAGTGGCAGCCGAACTAAATGACTGAAGGGTGGCGACCTCTACATCTCCCCCCTTGAAGACCAGACGGAAGACGGAGGACGCCAGACACTGCACATCACAAGTTCAGGCGGTTCGGAGGCACAACACGGCGGCCACTACGTGTTCGTGTCACACCATCACAGCGGTCACTGTCTGCAGGGGGCAGTCCAAGGGATTGGGTGGTTGCACTATAGTAGTTCGCTGGGGTTCCAGAGGGGGCAGTGTTCGCTGTGGCTCCTGCTCCTCGGACGGCGGTGGTTCCACCCTTGGCGCAGGAGGTGCAAAAGGCACTAGGTGACGCCGGTTGCGCTGTAGGACGCCACCCTGCTCCGTTTCCACGACATAACTTCGTGGTCGGCGTGCTGGGCTAAGCACTGTAGCTTTGACCTGATCAGGTCGTACCCAGACACACTGGCCTGTTCGGAGCGGTGACAGATCTTGAGCTCGGTGATGCCTGTTAAAGTCAGCGGCCTGTTTCTGCTTGTAGGCTGCATCTTTTCTCTTCACGTCTTTCCTCGAAGGCCAGTGAGGACATCAAGGTTACAACTTCAGGGTACCTGGAGTGGTAGTCCACCACCATGATGAATGTCTGGCTGCGGAGGTGGAACAGGTCCACGCCGACAAGTTCCCAGGGACGTCCAGGTAGGACCGTGGAAACCAGGGGCTCTGCATGGTTCACCCGAGTGGAAGCAAATTGCTCGCAGTTAGTTACCAGACAGGTAATGTCTGCCGAAATGCCAGACCACCAAATGGACTCTCGAGCGAGAGCTTTCGTTCTGTTGATGCTTTGGTGTCCTTCGTGCAACAGCGTCAAAACAGCCGGCCGAAGAGAATGCGGGATGAACATCCTGGCGCCTTTCAGTAGAACACCGTCGCAGACAGAGAGCTCATCAGCTGCTGAGGCATACTGGGAGAGGTGCAGTGGCAGTTTGGACTTCTGTGGCCAACCATTCTGGCAGAAGGAGGTGAGGGCTCTGCATTCGCCATCGGACTCTTTTGCTTGTCGCACGTCCTCTGGGCGTAGTGGCGAGGCTTCTGACATGCCGCTGACCACTTGAGCTGCAAACAATTCCACGGTGTCCAGGGGGAGGGACGCCTTCTGAGTGATGCGTGACAAGGTATCTGCCGTAGCTAACAGCTTTCCTGGCACGTGGAGCATTCGGAACTGGTATCGCATGGTCTTTAACCTGAGCCTCTGTATGCGAGGCGGCAGCATGTCCAGCTCCATCTTGCCGAAGAGAGAAACCAGTGGTAGGTGATCTGTCTCAACATCAAAGGTGATGCCGCGGACAAATTCGTAAAACGGTTGGGTAGACCATGTTGTTGCCAACGCTTCCTTTTCTGTCTGGCTGTAACGCTGCTCTGTCTCGGTCATTGATCTCGAAGCAAACGCAACTGGGCGGCGCTCTCCAGAGGGCTGTGTCTGCAGCAAGACTGCGCCCAGTCCGAATGAGCTTGCGTCAGCCGAAACTGTGGTGGCGTATGATGGATGGTACTTGGCCATGCAACGGTCTGATGTCAGGAGTTCCTTGATTTTCTCGAATGCAGCATTTTGTTCATGCTGCCACACCCAAGTCGCAGACTTGTTTAGAAGTGCTCTGATGGGAGCAGTGACCTCTGAGATGCAAGGCAAAAAACCGGGCAAGATGGTTCACCATTCCGAGCAGTCGCCGGACACCTGCGATGTCGGTTGGAGCCTCCATGGCTTTGATTGCTTCGACCTTGTCTGGACTTGGCCTGATGCCTTGTGCTGAAACAATGACTCTTAGGAAGGAGACTTCGGAGGCACCAAAACGACACTTGTCTTGGTTCAACGTGAGGCCTGCTTTTGCAAGGCGAGACAGCACCTGGCTCAGTCTGGCATCGTGCTCCTCGCGGGTGCGCCCAAAGACCAGAATGTCGTCTATCATATTGGCGACTCCTTCCTGGCCCTCCAGGATCCTGGCCATCTGTTTTTGGAAGTACTCCGGCGCGGAGGTGATGCCAAAGGGGAGCCAGCAGAAGCAGTATCGGCCAAATGGAGTGATGAACGTTGTGAGCTCTTGGGAGTCTGCAGATAGTTTAACCTGATGAAAACTGGCTGTTGCATCTTGCTTGGAGAAAACTGTTGCGTCGCCAAGGAGGCCAAGGACTTGCTCTACAGTTGGTAGGATGTGGCGTTCCTGAAGGACAACCTTGTTGAGCTGAGTCAAGTCAACGCACAGCCGGTAGGAACCATCGGCTTTCCGTACTACAACGAGACCAGAGCACCACGGGGTTGGGTTGTCGACCCTGCGGATCGCGCCTCCTTCCTCCAGTTTGTCAAGCTCGTGACGGACGACCCCGCGTAGCGGGATGGGAATCCTGCGAGGCACACTTAGGGAGAAGGGTACGGCGTCAGGTCTCAGAAGGATAGTGTACTCGTCCTTGAGGGTGCCCAATCCCTGGAAGAGCTCAGCACGCAATGTTGCTTTCGGAGTCTGAAGTTCGTCGAGAACTTTACAACTTCCAGAGCTTGAAGCACCGGCAGTCCAAGAAGAGGTACGGTGAGAGACTGGATCACGTACAAGCGCTGAGAGCTCATTTTCCCGTGCCACCGAAGTCTCGCCATGTACGAACCTAGGCACGCGCAGCGGGCTGACCGCCAGGTCCGGTGAGCAGTGCTGTTGACGGGGTCGAGCTTGGCCGCAATGCATGGAAGTCGCTCGAACGGCGGACACCTCGGCTCCGGAATCGACCTTGAACTGCGCTGTGTAGTTGTCAACGGTGATGTCGACGAACTTTGCCGCAGCGAGCGTCCCGACAGCGTGTAGCTGAAATGGAGCCGAGCTTCTGTTTGCCTGCCGCGCGCGGCACACTTCCGCAAAGTGTCCTTTCTTTTTGCAGAAGTTGCAGACGGAGTTTCGAGCAGGGCAGGTTAGAACGTGGATGTGGCGCGCGGCGGCAGAATTCATATGTTGACGACTGGCAGGAGCGCTCTGCTTTCCGCGGGGGCGAAGGCCACTTATCGTAGTTGCGGCGGCGAGAGGCGAACTTCTTATCTCTCGTACGGCGTCGAGGTGTAGCTCGCGGGAGTGCTCTGCGCAGTTTTGAGGCAACGTTTTTTCTTTGTCGGCGTCTTCTGATTGACGGGCCTGCATCCATGCTTCTTTGAGCGTCACTTCGCGTTCCGGCAAAGCTGGTCCGAAAGGCGCGAGTCGCGGAGGCCGACGATGAATCTATCGCGTACAAGCCTTTGCTCCACCTCAGCTGACGGATAGTTGCACCGCTTCACCATTCTACACAGTTCGGCGTAGTAGGCGTCGACGCTCTCGTCGGGTAACTGAACACGCCGGTGAAAACGCGACGACTCGTACAGTTCATTCGCCGGATGCACGAAGTGGTCGGTGAAGCTGGCGGCAACCGCTTGAAATGAGGCGAGGGATGCGGTGTCGAGCGAGAACGTCTCAAGAAGTGGGCGGGCCTCCGGCCCCATGCAGTACAACAACGAGCGTACCTGCATGTCGCCGGATGCTTGAGTCAGGCCGGAAACGATGGCGTAGTCCTCGTAGCGGCTGAGCCATGCTGGCCAGGTTCCCGGGTTCACAAAGTCGAACGGTGCGGGCGGCTGGAGGTTGAGGCTGAGCTCTTTCGGCGCCGTTCCGTCGAGGGAAATCGTCGTGCGGTACGGGCGAGTTCGGGATGAGGGGGCGTTACGCAGCCACTTCTGACACCATGTCTTGTGGCTGGTGCCGCGCGAGCGTGCCGGAGCACGAGCGGAGAGAGACGATACGCACGACAGCTGCTCATCTAACGCAATGGGGCCTCCCACTTTATTCGGGGCAGAATATATACAATCTCAGGGGCGCCACCTGCTAGTGGCAGCCGAACTAAATGACTGAAGGGTGGCGACCTCTACAGGTAACGCGCGCTGCGGCGCAGTGGTTACAAGTCGTGGGACGCAGGAAGTGGGCGGTACGTGAGGGCGCAGCAGGTGAGCAGCGCAGTGCAGATGGCGTCCAATGGCGGCGGGCTTGCGTTCGATTTTGCAGCAAGTTGGCGAAACTCGAGTGGCAGCGCATCCAGCAAGATGGATGTCGCGGATTTATCCACATTTCTAAAATTACTTTTCGAGCGTCCGTCATACCTTTGCTTTGCTTTGCTTTCCTAGATACATGGCACGTACCACTTAGGGGGATTGGCCAAGAATGCAACGTAGAAACTTAAATGTTATTTTAGGTACGCTATAAAATTTAAAACCAAAGATAAAGAAATGAAATGACAATAGTACATAAAATATTGAATTTAACTACACGTAATATGCTTTTCAGCCTGTATTCCAGACTGTCGTATTAACCTGAAGGAATATTTCTGAAAACTCACGTTTTAACTTAACGAAATGACGAACCATTTCAAATACGAGAATAAAGTGGTACTCGTTGAGTAGTTATAATGAAATTGCACACGGCATCAAATGCTTCCTTGTGGCAGTATCCCAAACCTGAGGCACCGAAGCCTAAAACATTTTCCTCCGATAAGTTCAAGCCTATTTTTGTAAAAGGGGTAATTAGATGTCAAGTTCTGATACGAGAATATATTGCGCATCACAAAAAGTAATGTGCGATATTTTCCAGTTCTCCGCAGAATTAACAGAGTGGTGATATCATCAGACCAACCCTGTAGCAATGAAAGTTTAATGGGGGAACACGACATTGAAATCTGGTGATCATCCCTTGTGATTGTCGAGAATAGCTCCACTGCGATTTCCACGGATATTTTAGGTGATTATATTCCGTCCACGTGGCGCACGAACTCGTTCTCTTCTCTCGCAGCTCGAGATATGCAGGAGCTTCATGGGAGGCACGGTGCTGTGGCTATGAAATGATGATGATGATGATGATGATTATGATGATGATGATGATGATGATGATGATGATGATGATGATGAATAATGGCGATGATGAGGACGCTTAAAGAAGTTTGAAAATATTTCGTGCTGATAATCGTTTTCTTGCGCTCTTGCTTTAAACACGCTATCCATTACGCAGGCAGCAGCCTAATTCAAAAGTTTCACAAACACAAGCCAATTCCAACTTTATCGATTACTTTGTAGTCATCCACAGTTTGAACTTCCTGAATCACATCATAAGTGTGTGTGAGTGATTTTAAATGAACAGAAGAGAAAAGTGAGCCCCGTAACTGACTCTCAGGGGGAGGACACCTCAACAGTAGCTCACGAATGGTGGGGTAATAGAGATATTAAAAAGATAGGATTAAAAAGTAAAGAAATAGAGAGACAGAGGAAGGAGAGCGCCACAGAAAACGACGGAAGTAAGGGGGAGCTCGTCGAAGGGCGTGTCCTTCAGGTCACCGTAGCGGGGACGGTACAGAGAGGCCTGAGACGACGACGTCGAAGGCGGCCCGCGGAGCCGTACCAAACTAGCCACTTTATTCATCGGGACTGAAGTGGAGCAACGGCGACTGCCAGCTTCTTTCTTCGTTTGTTTGTAGCCTCTAATCACGGCTCATACCCACTCTGGGGGATCGGCCAGGAGAACATGTAGTCTCATATGGACGATTGCTTCACTATTGCTCACAACAAAAAAAGGAAAAAGAAAGTTGTAGAATGAAGACAGTATATTAAAAAACCAAGATTTTGAGGGTGAGAAAATAAACATCAACAAGAATATCGACACTAATAACTACATCTTGATTTTGGGAGCCGACCAGACAGCTAGTTTTGCCAAACTCGATTAATTTGGTATGTCGCGGATTTATCCACATTTGGAAAATTACTTTTCGAGCGTCCGTCAAGCCTTTGCTTTGCTTTGCTTTCCTAAATACAAGGCACGTACCCACTCAGGGGGCTTCGCCAAGAATGCAACGTAGAGACTTAAATGTTATTTTAGGTACGCTATGAAATTTAAAAGCAAAAATAGAGAGCAATAGTACATAAAATAGTGACTTTAACTACAAGTAATAAGCTTTTCAGCCTGTATTCCAGACTGCCGTAATAAACTGAAGGGAATAATTCTGAAAACTCACGTTTTAACTTAACAAAATAACAATTAATTTTAAACACGAGAATCAAATGATACTCGTAGTTATAATGAAATTGCACACTGCATCAAACGCTTCCTTGTGGCAGTATCCCAAACCTGAGGCACCGAAGCTTAAAACATTTTTCTCCGATAAGTTCAAGCCTATTTTTGTAAAAGGGATAATTAGATGTCAAGTTCTGATACGAGAATATATTGCACATGACAAAAAGTAATGTGCGATATTTTACAGTTCTCCGCAGAATTAACAGAGTGGTGATATCATCAGACCAACCCTGAAGCAATAAAAGTTTAATGGGAGCACACGACATCGAAATCTGGTGATCACCACTTGTGATTGTCGAGAATGGCTCCACTGCGATTTCCACGGATATTTTAGGTGATTATATTCCGTCCACATGGCGCATGAACTCGTTCTCTTCTCTCGCAGCTCGAGCTATGCAAGAGCTTCGCGGGAGGCGCGGTGCTGTGGCTATGAATGATGATGATGATGATGATGATGAAGATGATGATGATGATGATGATGATGATAAATGGCGATGATGAGGACGCTTAAAGAAGTTCGAAAGTATTTCGCATCGTTTTCACGTGCTCTTGCTTTAAACACGCTATCCATTACGCAGGCAGCAGCCCAATTCAAAAGTTTCACAAACACAAGCCAATTCCAACTTTATCGATTACATTGTAGTCATCCACAGTTTGAACTTCTTGAATCACATCATAAGTGTGTGTGAGTGATTTTAAATGAACAGAAGAGAAAAGTGAGCCCCGTAACTGACTCTCAGGGGGAGGACACCTCAACAGTAGCTCACGAGGGGTGGGGTAAAGGAGAGATTAAAAAGATAGGATTAAAAAGTAAAGAAATAGAGAGACAGAGGAAGGAGAGCGCCACAGAAAACGACGGAAGTAAGGGGGCGATAGGAAAGATGGACACGGTCGCAGGAGTCCAAGGACGGGGCTCCACTCAGCGAGAGCTCTTGTCGGCGTCAGGAGATGGCGTAGGGCGAGCCCAGTCGGCCATAGCTGCGCTGTCGTCGGAGATCGCGGGGGCACAACCGGTCGGAATGAAATACAGCGAGCGGGTTCCACATCATAAGTCATACAATAAAGAAAGTATGCACTAAATGGTTCAAGTGCGAGCTAGGGACCGCATATCGTAATCGCGTAAGGTGCGCCTGCCATTTGCTTGTGCGAGAAAGCTCAGCTTTATTTCTTCCGTTCACACCTTAAGTACTTTTTGACCTCTACTCTTTACATTAGGCATTTTCAAAATTAAAAGTTTGTCGTCCGTGCAAAATACGGCGTCTACTGAACAGTGGTTTAAGAATCTTCGTCTAAATTAGGCGGGGTGGGGGGAGTCAGGTTTTTAAGTGAAAACCAGCGAAACTACTGTGACCTTGCAAGAAAAAATAACAAGCTACTTTATTTGTGGCTAATGCTTCAGTACTAAACTGCATAACCCAGCGTAGCGTTACCCTTACCGAAAGCGTGTGGCAAACATATGTTCTTCCACAGGACGGCTTCATGCTTTCTCATAGTAGAGCAATATGTAGTCTAAATCGTTAACCTATTTTTCTGAACACCCTTCGACGGACAGTGCTCTCCCATAGTAGAGTACCAAGTACTCTAAATTGTTAACCATTTTTTCTATACACACGACGAAGTTAATGAACTCGTTGAACGTGCGAAGAAAACTCTCCTTCTCAATCATTGCGACATTGCGACAACCTCTGAGGGGGCCGCAATGAATTTTTTGTTGACGCGGCCTCATCAAGTGTGAGGCCCAAAGGACGGCTTAAGCTCTCCCATAGTTGAGTACTATGTACTCGAAATCGTTAAACACACATTTTAACACATTTTAACACAATTTAACACAAAAGAATTTTAAGACGAAATAAAGTGTTTCTAAACACTGG